TATGAATGCATCCATTTTTGGTAAAATAATACGTTCCCGGATCCTTCATACGTTTCATCACAAGACGAACCTCTAGAGATGGGACTGATGAGTCTTGGCAGGATTTCCGCATTTTTTCTTAAAAGACCTACTCGGAGAACCGCTATTATATCAGCATTTCTAATGCCGTTTTTATAAAGGTAAGAGACCCACACTTTTTTCTTGGTTATTCTATTCCATCATTTCAAGAAATGAGCTCCAGAGTAACAAAATTGTAATCAAAGATAATATCGCATACGGTTAGGACATAGGTATGTGTATATAATGGAACAAAAACACATTCACTATAGTTAACACCATTGCCTAATCCCCCCAGCCGAGGTTTCGGTATACGGAAATCGTATACCGTGGACAAATTCTGTCAAGTATCTCGGTGTCACCCTTGAAAAAGGCATGACCTGGCAGAAACATACAGCAGCATTGAAAACAAAATCCAAATTACGTTTCGGCAACTATATCCTTTTTTATGTAAATCCTCCAAATTGAGTTTGATAAACAAAGTTCGGCCATAGGTGTATAAAATTATTATTAGACCAGCCATTACTTATGCATGTGCGGCTTGGTCTTTTCTTGCCAAGATACACATGCAAAGTCTTCAAGTACTGCAAAGCAGAACTTTACGAACAATTTGCAACGCTCCATAGTATGTAACAAACGAGTCACTACACAGAGACCTTGAGATTCCTTACTTGATGGACTATGCCAAGCTTCAGGCGCAGCGACGTTATAGTCAAGCGTAATCGCACAGTAACCCTATGATGCGTGACTCGGTGGACTATATACAGTGGAGTAAGTTCATAAACATTCAAGGCCACGGCTCGCACTGTGATCAAAAAATTATCGCGAACTTTTAGTGAAATCAACATTTGTTTTAAGTTCATCTCAAAATCTCTGGGACCTCGGTTGGCCGCGTGGGCCAGAGTGTCGTGCTACTGATCAGCCGGCCGGCCGGGCCGCGAGTTCGAATCTCGCCTTCGCCATGGATGTTGTGTGTTTGTTTTAGGCAGCAGCGGTGGCCGCAGTAGTAGACTCTTCGGTCTCCTGATCAGTCGCCGTGCGCTGTGCGGGTTCGAGTCCCGTCCCAGGAGAAATTTTTCTCTTGGCTATGGATGTTGTGATTGTCCGTAGGTGGTAGATGGTCTCTGACTGTCGAACGCGGAGGTACCACCCGGCGGTTCTCGTAGGCGGAGCCAGAATGTGTGCATGTTGCATGCACACGTGTTCCCTCGCCAGAGTCCGTGTGGCGTCCCCCCTTTTTCCCATGTATCCCCCTATAGCCCCACGGTACCCAATGGGTGCTTAGGCGTTATTCCTTCGTGGTAGTTGGAGTATAAAAAAAAATCCGTGTACCAAATCAAATGACTTCTCGCTAGTGAAATAAACTGCATCATCTAGGATGATGAGTATCAACTATAGACATTAGTGTTCGGCGCAATCATCAGATGTCACTCAAAGCAGGGTATAAGTCCTTGTATATGGCTTACACCCCTTTGCTTTTACCCCGATTTTATTGACTGTTTCGGCAGGCGGTAGCTACGCTCATTGACATTCATGTGTAGATATGATTTCTTGATTGTAACTACGGATGGACTTGTCATATAGGGTAAATCAAAATGATGTTTCATCACTCGAACTTTGAGTCACTCTGTGGTGTGAATCTAGTTGCCAATCAGACCGCAATACTTTTCATTACCAAGAACCACATTTTTTCTTTAATCTGGTTTTTTATTCACGTCAATATATATATCTTAAATCATTAGATTTAGAAACAACTCTTTAATTTTTTTATTAAGGACTGGAGCTTCAGTCCATTGAAAATTACAAGAGGTTTACATAAGTGACAGTTACGTCTAACCGGGTATTGAACAACATGCTATGGCCGCGAGGCCTATTTATACAGTCGTATTGCTGACTAAGTATTACAGGAAACAGAAAAGATACTGGCTAAGCAACAGATTAGCGAGAAGTTGTTATCGGATGCTGATGCAGCGTCTAGTGCAACATTGTATATTAACTGCGTGGTTCATTTAGCATATAACAACTCCCCCCTATCACAAAAAGTTGTTGCTATGCGACAACTTTTGACAAAAATGACAAAAAATCGAAAAATACAAAATAATGTAAAAGTGTAAAATTGTAACCATTGTAAAAATATAAAAAATACAGATTGCAAAAGTAAAATCAGAAAAGTACAGTTTCTGAAAAGTAAAATTGTGAGTATTAAAGGTGGTTATATTGGTGATGCAGAACAGCATCTAAATACAAAAGCAAAGGCTGGAACAAATAAACGTTAAAGTAGTGCCGTACAATCGTATGGGAGAATAACATGGAAAATAACACGAAAAATGGAAAATGTTTTTTCGGACAGTGAAAACACTTCACAAAACACTCACTGTAGTTCGATGTCTTCTTCCTGGGGCTGGTTGGTCTACGTCGAGGGAAAAGTCTGGGAATGTACTGGACTTTCGGCGTTCCTGGAGATGAGCCATCGACTGGATAATTCGATTGGCAGATGCTGAGTAGTCGACGTTTTCTGCACTTGCAGAACAGGTAGAAAACTACGATGATAACTAACAGGATGATGATGAGATATGTGAACCATGAGAGATGTCTTGAAACAAACGCTCGTTCATAATTTTGTGAAGTTGTTCTGAATATTCATTTGAATTGTGAATGGCAATTTCGAGTTTATCGGTATTGATCTTGCTTAGCTTGTTTGGTTTCAAATTTCGTAGTTTTCCTTTCTCAAGCAGCAGCGGTGGCCGCAGTAGTAAACTCTTCGGTCTCCTGATCAGTCGCCGTGCGTTGTGCGGGTTCGAATCCCGTCCTAAGATAAATTTTTCTCTTGGCTATGGATGTTGTGATTGTCCGTAGGTGGTAGACAGTCTCTGACTGTCGAACGCAAAGGTACCACCCGGCGGATCTCGTAGGCGGGGCCAGAATGTGTGCATGTTGCATACACACGTGTTCCCTCCCCAGAGTCCGTGTGTCGTTCCCCCTTTTCCCTGTATCCCCCTAAAGCCCCACGGTACCCCATGGGCGTTTAGGCCTTAGGCCTTCGTGGTGGCTGGATAATGTATAAAAAAAGTGTTCACAGCACTTGTAGGGTATTTCTACAGGGTGACTTTTATACGTGATCTTCGTATAGGCGCTAACAGAATATCTAGACCAGAGTTCCAAACTTTTTTGTGTCGTAGACCCCTTGCCATGTTTTTCCGTGTTGGGTAGACCCCCTACTTACCTGATATTGATTTCCTGTAAATTTCTAACTGTAATGAAGTTTAGTGTTAAAAACTTAAAGTAAAAACACATGTTAATTTATACATTTATTAATTGAATTTAAATTAAAACTACTCAAAATAAAATTTTGTATCTGTTATGTAAAATATACGTAACATTAAATAAACAGGTGTCTGCCCAATAAGTGCCCGCATTGGGAATAAGTGCCCGCATTGAAAAAAAAAGTGAAAAATAAAAAAAAAGTTTTTTACTTAAAATAGTACAATAAGCGAGTTCGTTTATTAATCGTAACATAAACGTATGTTCTACAATAATTTCACTGTTAGTTTGATTAAATTCCGCTTCTTATACGTTTAAGTTATCTAAAAATAGGCAAAAAATTAACGAATTTTAGTGTGTACGTATCCTTGAATTTTCAGAATAATTTTAAAAAAAAATATTTTCTATAAAGGGGGGTTCTTTAAAAAATCAATGTGGGCACTTATTCCCCATGCGGGCATTTATTGGTCAGCCACCAATAAACATAAAATAAACTATAAATAAAATACCATAAGCAATAAGTCAATATTTTTAGTGGGAAGGATGAACCTGATGCTTTAATAATAAATTATCAACATTTGGCGTCAATTTTAATCTTAAATCTCCTTTGCTAATGATGTCCAGTCTGTTTCTTTTTTTCTTTAGGAGATTGGTAACAGCGCTGAACCCCCTTTTCACTAGGTATGACGATGGAAAGGAAATTAAAAATTTCCTCGCTGTATTCCATAATACGGGATAAGTAACGGGTATGTTGTTTTGCAACCAGCATTGCTGATATCCGTTTTTAAACTGAACTTTAAGTTCTTAGTTTGTACTTAGTTCAGTCAGTTCCTCTTGTATTATGACATTCGTTTCTTCTATGTCACCATATGGATTAATTATTCACGGTGGTATTACCATAGTCAAAATATCCTCAAACCTAGATTCAAAATCTGAAAAGAGGGCATTTAAATGTTGAACGTAAGTTGAAACGTCGTCGTCCTGGCAGCTTGTCTGTGACAAATTGGGGAACTGAGAAAATTCGCTTCATTAGTTTAACTCTGGCAAGAAACGCTGATAAGATGGACTTCGTTTTAATCAAATTTAAACTGTCGCCTTGTAATTGCAAATTAACCATATTAAATTTTGTAAACAAATCTGTTAAATAGGCGATGTCTGTTTTCCTCTTCATTAAATTTTCTTTTAAAATTTTATCTTTAGTATCCAGAAATTCTAAAATAGTCTCAAAAAGTGCAAAAAATCTTGTCAAACATAAGCCTTTCGACAGCCAGCGTACTTCAGTATGAAGGAGTAATTGATGAAAGTGTTCGTCATTTTCTTCACACAACTGCGCAAATAACCGCGTATTCAACGCGTTGCTTCGGATTCGGTTTACTGCATCAATGACTAAATGAAGTGATTCATGCAATCTAAATTTTTAGCAACTAAATGTTGTCGATGGATGACGCAATGTATTGCTAACACCCCTGACACATTTTGATTTAAATAGCTTATAAATCCACGATAACGTCCAACCATGGCAGGTGCTCCATCTGTAGCTACTGATATTATATTTGATAAAGGAATTGCTTTTTCAATGAAATAATCCTTCAAAACATGAAATATTGATTCACCTTTATCAAAGTTCTTGCGAAGAGCAGTTCTTCGTAGATTTCTTGATTCATAATAAAACGAACATATGCCTATAATAATGCTGTATTATCAGGTAAAGTTGACTCGTCCAGTTGTATAGAGAAATGGGTCAATTGCAAATAATTACATAAGAAGCTTTCAATATCAGAACTCATTTCATCAATACGTCTTTCAACAGTATTGTTGCTTAAGGGAATTCTTTTAATGATATCAGATGCAGGTTTGTGTAAAACAGTTTTTAAAACCTCTTCAACGGCTGGCAAAATTGACTTCTCTCCGATGGTATGCGGTTTTTCGGATTTTGCTATAAGTAACGAGATATTGTAAGACGCCCGCAAACCATCATCATTTCTTTGTGTCGTCGAAGCGAACATTCTGTCCAGTATAGGTCTCTTCTGAAATTTATCTTTGAGTGTTTGAAAGTATTTCAAATCTTTCTCTGTTTTATCAGGGTGGCAAATTCTCAGATGATCTTGGAGTTTAGATGGTTTCATAGCGTCATTGCCCAAAACTTTGTTGCATAAAAGGCACATAGGCGATTGTTTGTCCGGCAATGATGGAATGAAGCCAAATTTCAAATAATCAACACTGTACTGTCTACATTTCTTTTTAGATTCGGACATGGCATCAGTCATCTGTGTGCAAAATTAAATTATTTAAATAAGACAGCAGCTGTATATTAAAAATATTTTTTGATTTTTCCGAACACATTCCATAATTCGAACATCTTCTTGCAACAATTAGCTCGAATTACGGAGATTGCACTGTAATTATATTACCGATTGCTAAAACTTTCAAAAAGAAACTATTTAGGAGTACTCGTGTAATTTTGCATGATTGAATATTTAACTACTAATAACTAAAGTCATGATTGGCGTAATTTATCTATCTTTGCTATCTACGAGTACAAAACTAAAATTTAATAAAAAATAATATACTTACTTTTCTCCAGCACTCTCAAACAAAATAACACTGACTCACTATAATTTGTGTGATATACTATCTGTTTATATTTTTTAAAATATTTTCTTAGCACTTTCCTTTTCAAGATTCAGGAAGCGAATAAACGTATTTGTCCCACATTCGTATTTATAGAGTGACGAATTGAACAAGTCAGTGCAAGGTAGCGAAGCTCTGAGACTGCGACTCTCAGGTTTTTACAAGTTCAAAATGTATTGCGACCACAAAGCGAATACCAACATCCTACAACTTACACAATTTTATAAACATATATAATAAATTTTTTACTTCGTAGGCACTTTTATAAATAATGTATATGTTTTGAAATTATAAGATAGTATGATGTAAGTAAATAGGTACTATCAGTGGATGTGTTGAGAACCACTATCATGGACCCCCATATTCATTTCATGGACCCCCAAATTTTTTTTCGCTTACGTAGACCCCTTGCAGGTTGTCATAGACCCCTAGGGGTCGATATAGACCACTTTGGGAATCAATGATCTAGACTGTAGTCTCGTAGTGCCTACAACGTCACTGCATTCAGGCTGCATTTTTAAAAGTGAATTAGCTTTTATCACTTTAGTGGTTGTCTCTCGTTGTCCACATTTCATCGTGATTGGCAGAGGGCTATATATAGTGATTAGCCAAAAATTGATTGCAAGTTCCTGGATTTTGTAATCCTGCAGAGCCACAATTGCTATTTGGCGGACTGCCGGTAGATCGCGCGGATTTCGCAACAACTGTGCTTCGCAGACTGCATTACTACTGTCTATCGGATACGGCAAGACGTTGAAAGATTTTCAACCAAGACTAAAGAATTTTACAAATACCCATATTTTGATATGAAACGTACAAAAAGAATCGCTATTTTCAGCAATATATCTCTGTATAGTGGAAACTACATGGAATAGACCGGTACGTTTATCGGAAATGGGCAGAGGAATCACTCTGTACAAGGTATAGATTTCGGGCTCTAACAAAGGAATGCGTAAGACGAAGGCTACTCTCGTTTTAGTTTGATACGCCTCGAGTTCCATAATATTGAGGTATTCGGACACTGTTGCCAAATTGACTGGAAGAGGCAAATTATTCTTGGACAGGGTATGAGAGATTGCTAAATTTGAGACGCACAACGCTTATGGAATTGAGAATATCGTTAATTGTCTCTTCGAGAAACATATAGCTTTCCATCAATTGTTCACAAACTTCTAAGAATTGGAATCTAGCTTCGTAATTTCAGAAATTTTGTTTTGAATAATCTTAATACCTTCATTGAACCTAGCTTCGTCAATTTAAAGTTTTTGAATGGTATTGTTAAAATTCTTTATAACCGACATGGTAACAGAGATTTGGTTTTTCATTAAGTTCTCAAGCTCGTGTTTGTCTTTGGAGAGTTCTTATAAAATACAGTCATTGTAGTATTCACCATCATATGAGTCGAGGTTGCTTTCCAAATGGTACCTATACTCGTAGCATTAATGAGGCTGCGTTTCATTCGCGATGCGCTTAACGTGTCATCGAAGTCGCGTAGTATTGGGATTCCAAAGAACGGGAAATTTGATACAGAACACTTGTGTGCGTTTTAATTTCGCCACTAAAAGTTTTCATGCGACTAGTGGGTATTATCTACAAGAAAAGATAAGTGTTCCAGAATATAGTTGTTATTATCAATTGCTTTCTTGATGAGTTCTAGATCTTTATAAACAAGGAGTGTCCAGATTTTGTTGGAAATCTTAAGAGGGGCATCTTCGTGAAAAGAGATACCTAACGTGTTGTTTATCGGTTTGATATCTTTCTGCGCTGAAACAGTCACAAGAAACAGCAGACTGCACGTGAAAGGGAAACTAAGTCCCAAAACATGGTTTTAGTCTGTTAAAATTAACTTTAGTTATTCTATCTGTTTCCGGGTTTTTAAAGAGTACGAGATTCTCAAAAACCTGAGTAATTTCGAATGGTCCATCGAATTTGTTCTGTTTTGTCGCCAACTTTGTATGTTTGTAAGTTGGGTGACACTCTATTGTCAAAACGAACTTTAGGTTTCTGCTTTTGTTCGTCAGTTCTCGCACGGGCAATTTTATAGTAGTATTCGAGCTTATTCCGAATGTCTCGAACATACTTGGACATCAATTCTTTTTCGAGGAGAACATGTTCGGGTGGACGACCAGGTGTGTGGCCAAAGTCAAGCTCATATGGTGTAAAGCCAGTGCTCTTATTTCTAATGCTATTGTAGCTCTGAACAGCGTACGTAAGGTAGAATATTGAAGGTATGTTCGTCCGGGTTTTCAGATACATGCAATCTGATCATTTTCAACAAAGTGGCATGAATTCGCTCAATCGAGCCATTAGAATGGGGATGACTCACACCAGAAAATGTTGATTTAATATCATAAAGACTACAGAGGTTTTTCAAGAGAGCATTGTCGAATTCTTTTCCGTAATAACAGTGTATTCGTAATGTTGGAAATATAAAAGAAGAGTGTTTAGTACAGATTTGGCAGATTTGGTCGCCAATGGGGTATGCTTGAAAAAATTTTGTAAGCTCGTCTCGGACTGTGACAGCGTAGCATTTAGGCGGGACTTCTAAAATGTCGATGTTGATACGTTCGAGCGGGGCTTTAGGAGTTTCAGTTACTACTAGAGGGGCACTGAGGTTTTTACGACAAATTTTGGTCTTTTGACAAATTTCGCACCTTTTGATGTAATGCTCAACGTCTTTAGTTAAGCTGGGCCAATTGTATCGTTCACGGATTCGCCTAATATTATTACCTCGCTGGATATTTTTGTTAGCGCAATGATAGTGATCCAGAATGTCAAGGATTTCTTCAGGACTGGGAGTTTTCGTGATGTTTTGGCAAACGACAAGCTTGACGTTATCATCGGAAAAAAACAAAATATTTCTAGAATGGGCAGATCTAAGCTGTTTTCGACGTAGATTTGTTGGGACAGATCGAATACACCTTTGTTGTTTGAAACAACAGCGAAAAGATGTACGCAAGTCGCGGGATCGTACGGCACGGGAGTAATATAGTACTTCCTATCTTTGACTGACTTGCCACGAGCCCCTTCCCACTTCTGTGAAATCAAACTCAGAAATCTCAACTTTGTTAGACTTATCGCGATACAGTGTGAGAAATATTGTTAGAAGATGTAACTGGTTCAGTTAATATTAAGCCACGATATGTGAAAAAAAGTAATATCACAAATGCCGACCGAAGAGCATTAAGAAGAATAATCGTGAAAAACAGGCGTGCCAATTATTTACAATTAAGTGCTCTGTGGAGTGACGCTGTTGGAAGGAGAATTTCGAGTTCCACAACTCATAGAGAGGCCCACAAACTGGGATTTAGCACTTGCAAGGCAAGTTTTCTTATAAAAAAAAGCGAAGTAAAAACCCTAAAGTTGCAAAACTTGTTTATAGGCCAAAGAAAAGCCACTATTAACTCCACTGCAAAAGAAAAATCGGGTTAGATGGGCTAAAGAACATCGACAATGGACACCTCAACAATGGTGTGCAACACAATGGAGTCATGAGGCCCGATTCGAAGTTTGTGTTGGTGACAGTCGCAGTAGAATTATTCGCTAAAAAATGAAGCATTCCATGTTGACTGTCTGAGAAAAGTGAAATTTCTAGCATCCATTATGGTCTGGGGCAGTATGTCATCAGAAGGAGTAGGAAAACTTCATTTTATTGATGGAAATGTGGATACAAACAAATATTTGGCAATTTTAGAAGAATCGCTTTTACCAGTGATGGAAGAATGTTTGAAATCCGGCCAAGATTTTGTGTTTCAGCAAGATGGTGCAGCGTGCCATACCTCAAAAAAGGCTATAAATTGGATGGAAGAAAATAATGTACCACTTTTGCAATGGGTTTCTAGCAGTCCATATCTGTCACCTATTGAAACTTTGTGGCACGAGATGAAAAAGGTTCTACGACAACATCCTGCTCGTACAATCACCGAACTGAGACAAAAGCTTCAAGAAATATGGGATTGTTTTACACCAATTTTTTGCCAAAACTTTTGTTGCTTTGTTAACTTCGCGCATTTATTCGCACATTGTTTATTTGTTCAGATGTTCTATTAGTTATAGGTCTAAGTGATTTCAAATATGTATTTTTTACGACTAGAGTGTATCTAAAATTTTTTTGAGAAAATAAATTGTTTTAGAAGTAGTTTCGTCATGTTTAGTTTATAAAGGCATATTTTGGTACAAATCTTGAAGTGGGCCAACTGAAGTGGGAAGGGGCTCGTAGATGCGATATTGATTATATCTGCAGAAAACTCAAGATTTTCCTCGAATAGGTCTTGGATGATTTTTTCGTGGAGATCAGAAAGGGAATTTTGTCTGAAAAACGTGACAATATGTTTATGAATTTTGTCTAGGAGTTGGGAATTTGAGAATTGGATTTTGGAGTAATCAATTAAGGATGTGGTTTTTTAAAGACGGGCAAAGATATCAAATTCACTTTCAGTAAATTGAGTTGAATGTTCTCCTTCTTCGTCACTTTAGGTAAGGGCGTTGACACTGGTAGGCAATTTGATTCGTGACAAGGCATCAGCGTTCTTTT